GGCTCTCTGAGAGGGATGGAAGCTTTTGAGGCAGCCTCTAATCACCTTTACAGGTGTTCCTAGTCAGACATATAAGCGGGTATGATATTCTTAGTAACCTGCCAGGTTCTCTGAGAGTGAGAACTAGAGAATAAGAGGTCACGCGGCTATGAATTGAGCTTGGTTTTAGAGTCTCTGGATCCTGGCCGTTGATGGGGTTACACGGCAGTTGGAGGGTGTAACTGTCTAGCTACTGGAAGGTGGGGGAGCTGGGTGGAGGAGGTCCAGTCCCGAACCGAGAAGGCTTGGAGATCTCAGCCCCGGGTCCTGCACACCTGGGTTCCTCTGCCGGTTCCTCATCCCAGCTGTGGAGAGTGGTCTCAGCATGGCTTTGGCTGGGTCCAAATATAATAATAATTAGGTAAATATATATATTGTAATATATATAAATAATAATATAATTAGGGAAATTTTCTATACTGAAAGCTGACCAGAATAGAGTGAAGAGAGTGCACTGGGGATAGAGGGATGGATCCTGATATAGGGTCTTATATATGTAGACTTATGCGTATTGTAAGAAATTAGGGTCTCCTCCCATAATCCATGTTGCCAAAATAATAGCAACACCTTTATGCCATTTACCTGGAAGTCTTAACCTTCTTGGATAAAGTGCAATGCAAGATTTGGTAAAATGTTAAACTGAAGACCAGATTGATATATTTGGTCAGCTTTTGTGTTTGTGTCTTTTACACACACATATTCTCTATTATACATCACTTTTATATGCATATATACATAAAATGTAAATGCATTAGAAATTTGTTTCACTCTCTTTTTTTTATTTTATTGTTTATTAAGAAAAAAGGCGCAGGGCTAGAGCAGGAGGTAAGCACTTGCCTTGCATATGACTGGCTCACATTTGATCCCCAGAACCACACATACATGGTTCACTGAGTCAGGAGTGAATCCTGAGCGCAGAATCTGGAGTAGAGCCTGAGCACAGTTAGGTGTGGAACACGCACACTGCATGCGAGCACACACACACACACACACACACACACACACACCCTGAAGCTATTTCAGTCGTCTCGAAGTTTATTTGTTTTTGATGTTTCCTTCTTTCTCATACATCCACAGTGCCAAATTCATCTTTATGTAGCAAAATTTATATTTTTTTAAATTCATTTGCAGAAACGTTCCAACATTCCTGCCGTAAAAATCACAGGACATTGAGATTGAGATTGAGCTTTCTCTTTCCTATCCACTTGCAAAATTCCAAATAGGTTCATGGCCTCTGTGGAAACTGCTTTTCTCTTGCTTCCACCATTTTTTTCTCTTGCAGTTTTTTTCTTGCAGTTTCCACCATTCAGGCTGTTTTTGTTTTTCTCTCTCTACCCAAATCCTTTCCATTACCCCAACTAAAATTCTCTCTCCTTTGTGAAACCTTGCCCGCCCATTCCAGGTCATTAACAGACATCACTGTTAACACTGTGAACACTTGGTTTAACCAAGAGTGTTATACAGATAAAACGTGAAGGTTAACAATACCAGAATCCAGGTCTTCGGAATGGATCGTGTCATAAGACCAAGTCAGCTATGTGCAAGGCAAGCTCCTTCCACTGTACTTTCTGAGCCCTGTGTCTCACTCTTCAACCCCCACCCTCTGCCATATTTCTTTTTATTTTTTCTTCATCTTTTTAAAACATAAAGAGACAGATTCTAATATGATCTCTTAAAAATCCATGCTTTGTTCCAGGGAAACTAAAAGATGGCAACAGGAAGAATAAAACATCCAGTGTGGAACACATTCCACCTTTTTACAATAAAAAAAAAACAAAAATCTCAAATACCACATAGACTGCATTTATTATTAAGTTAACTCCCCACTGGCTAATATAGTATACATCATAACCTAAGATTCTAAGAGTAAACTCATATACACACCATGTTTAGGCAGTTCATCAAAGAAAACAATTATATATCACGGTCCTCCCATTGTTCATCGATTTGCTTGAGTGGGCCCAGTAACGTCTCCATCATGAGACTTGTTACTGTGTTTGGCATATCGAATACGTCACGGGTAGCTTGCCAGGCTCTGCCGTGTGGGCGAGATACTCTCGGTAGCTTGCCGGGCTCTCCGAGAGGGACGGAGGAATCGAACTCGGGTTGGTCATGTTGGCCGCTTGTAAGGCAAACGCCCTACCCCTGTGCTATCGCTCCAGCCCAAAGAAAAACAATTATATAATATAAAATCAAATCATTTTTAAAATGATTGAGGTATGGAGGCAATAAGGTATATGAACATGAGAAAAAAATAGGAATAATAAAGGATATCTAAAGTTATGAAGAGAAAAACAGTGCTGGTTTGTCTTAAGAGAGGCAAGTCAAAACCTTAACCTTTTGCGGAGAAGAAACTTCTTTTCTAGAAGCTGAGACAGAGCCACAGAAGTTCAGTTAAAGACACGTATCAGTGTAAGAGAGATGGTCAAGACAACATTTCAAAGAACATTTCTTTAGTGATTTGATTTCATCAAGAAATACCACTAGCGAAAAAAATGTTTTTCTAATTATCGTGCCAAACCTCAAGCAATTTCTCTGAAGGTGAAAGAAGGAAATGAAGATTTCAGGCTAAGAAATATGGGTGGAGGGGCGGGGGTAGAGGGGAACTCTCTTCATTTATATCACAAGAAACTTAAGTGATCAAAGGGTCCTGAATTTTGTTCCCTAACTCCATTTTTTTTTGGTTAAGTAGAAAAACATGAAGATAAAACATAAAGCCATGATCACTTTTTTTGTTGTTGTTGTTTTGTTTTTACTGACTCACAATGTGAAAAAGAAAATGAAGATGTCTAATACTCCATTTAAAATCAAGGTGGTAACACCCAATAAGAGAGAGAGAACAAAAGGGAATGCCCTGACACAGAGGAGGGGGGTGGGGGGTGGGAGGGATACTGGGACCCGTGGTGGTGGGAAATGGGCACTGGTGGAGGGATGGGTATTTGATCATTGTATAATTGAAACCCAAGCACAAAAACGTGTAAGTCTAGAACTGTACCTCATGATGTCTCACTATTAAAAAAATTTTTAATAAAAAATAAATAAATAAATAAAATGAAGGTGATTACTTATGGCTGTTTATAACTTTCTTTTGTTGAATCATCTCTACTCCTCCCCCCATTTGGTAGTTTCCAAGGTCAATGGGCAGTCTTTTAAAAATCACAAGACCTATTCTCTCTGTTTGGTCTAGATCCAGCTTCTTTATTATCTCAGAGATACATGCTGCTACACAGTTTTGTAGACACGCCAGATAACATGGAGGAAAATATCCAGGAGATTATTATTCCCAGACAGTTTGCCAACTGATTTTAAACTGTTGCTTGTTGCCGGCACATAAAATGATAAATGGTCTTTTATTCATGAATCTTTCAAGAATAGAAATCCTTACATGGAGAGTGGGGGTAATTTCTTGTTCTGTCATACTCCTTTGTTCTTCCTTTGCCTCAGTTTCCTAATCTATTTTCACACAGTTTAGGATGAATTTTGGTTTCTTCTCTTTCCTAACTTTATTATCATTTATAATCCTACATATCTTGCCTCCCAGTTCCTCATTCTTACATTGCAGCATCTCAGGCAATGTCTGAAATAATGCCAGTACACAGAATCACCCTCACCAAATTGATACCTGGACATGCCAGACCAGGGAGATTAAATTGCAAGCGGCCAGTTAGGGTTAGAATTTAACAGAACCGAAACCCGACTCTTCTTTTTTTTTTTCTTTCAATTAAACACAATTAATTTCACTGGAATTAATTTCAGAATGCCTAGGGAGTTTCTAAGTCTGGGCAGGGTTTCTAACGCAACCCAGGAGGAGCCTTGGAAATACAAGATCTGAAAGATCGTGTTCTATTAGGCTGTTTCTCAGGGATTTGAGGTTTGGTTTTATAGCGAGTCCAAGAGACGCTAACATGCTCCTTCAGCAAAGCCAAATCCCGGAGCTCCTCAGACTCAGCCTATTGTTTTCAGTGTTGACCCAGCCAGAGCTGACACAGCTGGAACATTCTAGAGCACACCCACATCTCTGGTCGAACTAGGATAGTGTAGGAGGGGAGAAGGTAACCCTTGTCCAAAGGGCATCTGTTGACCCAAGTCATAAACACACAACAGTGCCGACCAAACTTTCTTGCTTTAGTTTCAATATTAATTTTTTTCAAAACATGATGCATTATATGCACTTTCTAGTTGTTGTTTTAACTTTACAGAAAACCACAAGGGATTTATCGAGTACCTCCCCCTGACTCACAAAGCAGCCGGATGTGACTGGGGGGCTCTGGACAATTTTGTTTTAGGAATGTGAGATGCTTTAAGTACGAATCTGCCAAAAGGCATCCTCCAATCTGTTCTGAGACTAGGGAGGGCCGGTACTGGCCTACCCAGGGCCAGCGAGGAAGACAGGCAAGTTCGAAGTAACGCCCTTGGGTGAGGTCCCGTTCACGAAGATAAAGAAGTGAGATCACAATAGACTGCACGAAACGTTTCTGCACGCCACCGAGCCGCGGCTATAATCAAGTGAGAAAATGGAGATGTTCAAGGACCAGGAATCCTTTGGGCTTTTACACTCGCGGTGGGCAGGGAAAGGCTCGTCTGACGTAGCCTGAGGTCCGTGCACGGCACGCGTTGAAGCCAGGAAAGTTCACCAGCGATTTTGCTACAAACCTGCCACCCATGACTGGTGTTAAACTGGTTGGAGGGCAATTCGAAACCGGAAAATCCGGGCAGCAACCGGGGGCACCCAGTCAGCTACCCTGCAGGCTCTCGCCTCCCTCGGAGGCGCTGGGAGCCGGAGCGAGACCCGAGCGGGAGGGAACCGTCTGGCGCCGCGCCCGCCTCGTCCCGCCCCGCCCCGTCTGCCGGACTCCGGCCCCGCCCCGCCCCCACCCGGGACACGCCCCGCCCTCCTGGGCTCGGCCCCGCCCTCGCCCCGCCCAGGCCCCGCCCCCCGGCTGAGCGAGCGGTCTCCGCCCTCGCCCCGGAGCTGGGAGGCTGCGGGACCAGCTGCCGCAGTCGCCGCTTCTGACGCCGCGGAGACGCACGGTCCCCTGCCGCCACCCAGCCCGGCCGAGGAGGCTGCAGTCGGAGCCCGCAGCCCGCAGCCCGCGCCTCCAGCCCACCGCCGCCCTCCGAGGGCGCTCCCGGCCGCGCCATGGTGAAGGTGACGTTCAATTCGGCTCTGGCCCAGAAGGAGGCCAAGAAGGACGAGGCCAAGAGCGGCGAAGAGGCGCTCATCATCCCCCCGGACGTCGTCGCTGTGGACTGCAAGGTCCGCGGGTCGGAGAGGTCGGGCGGGTGTGGGGGGAGGGCGGGAGTGGGCGCGAGTGGGCGCTCGGGGCGAGCGGTCGGGCGAACGAACTGCGCGTCCCGCGGGGTGCGGGGGCCGCGGGGCGCGGCGGGGGAGGGAGCGCCCGAGCTCTCCCTCACTTCTCTATTTATTTGGCTCTTTATTTATCAGACCTTTGGGGCTGCATCGCCCTCTCACCGTCTTTGTTGTTGTTGTTGTTTGCTTGTTTGTTTGTTTGCTCTGGCAGCCGCTCGGTGGGGAAGTGCGTGTGCAGGGAGCGGTGCCTGGCGCGGGATCGGGGGAATGGGGGTGGCGGGGAGGAGACTCGGGGACCCCCCCCTCAGATACACACACACACACACACACACACACTCACTCACTTGAATAAGCATTGTCCGGAGATCGGGGGAATGGGGGTGCCGGGGAGGAGACTCGGGGACCCTCCCTCATACACACACACACACACACACACACACACACACACACACACACTTGAATAAGCATTGTCCGGAGTTTGCCGTCCGCGCTGCGGACTCGGCGCGTGTGCGTGTGTGTGGTGACGGTGGTGGTGGACGCGGGACAGGCCACCCGGAGACCCGCGGCGACGGGAGAAAGCAGCAACAGCAGCAGCAGCAACAACAACAACAACAGACTTTGGCACTTCCTCCCCTGCATAAATAATGTTCCTAAGATGGCTGACATCACTCTGTGGCTTCCTACTTTCGATTCTGGCCTGACTCGGCTGCTCGCGCTTCGGAGCGAGCCGGAGCTCCCCGGAGCCTCGCGGGCTTGCAGCGCGTTTGCTCCCGGCGCTTTCTTCCCGCGACCACCCCTCTGGGATCCCGCTCCCCTCCCCCCCCCCCCCCCCCCCCCCCCCGGGACCGGCAGGTGAACTTCCAAGGGGGAGCTAGAGAAGAGGAGCCCCGGAGAGGAGGAGGGGAGAGAGCAAGGTTGTTGACAGTGGCCTCACAGTCGGCTCTGGCTGTTGGTTTTATCACTGAAGTCAGCTATGGAAGGAGCAGTCGTTGCTCGGTGGGTGTCGGTGTAAAAGTCAGCGGTGGGCTTGGACGTGTTAGCAGCACCTTCCGCAGCGCCCTTCCAGGAGTGAAACGAAAACCTAAGGAAATGGTCCCATAGCTCCTATATTTTGCAAAATCCCTCCTCCCCTTTTTTAACCCCTCTTTTTTTTTTTTAAAATCCGTAAGTAAAAAATCAGGAGTGGCATCACGATGGTGCCATCTTTTAGTGATTTAACAATATTCATGTCAAACGCGATTATAATTGTTAGAATTTAAAAGGGGAAGCCTTTTAAATTCCTTTTTTCGCAGCCGTATCTCGAGGCTGCGAAAATTCGTTTCTGTAGATGCTATCTGTAGGAAATGCTTATGTTGTGGGATTTATTTTTTATCAGTAAGGCAAACTTTTAACTTGAAGAAACCCAATAATTTGTGTGTGGGTGTAATGAGCGTTTTTTTTTAATGTGGCCTAATGAAAATTGTTACTGAAAAATAGGCCACTTAATATACTCTAAATGATTTTGAGAATATAATGTTAATCCAGACATGCCTGCACTAATTTTCTGGGGAAAGTTCTGGTTGAAAAATTACCGAGGTTAATTTTTAAATACTGCCTGTATCTTGAAATAGGAACAGTGAACTGATCCTTTAAAAGGATTAAGAGTTTTGGTGTTGGTAATTTTTTCCTGTTGTAAACAGTCTTGGTCTTAAAAGAAAATGTTTGGAATGCACAAAGGATAATTCAAGTAGCAAACGATTATCTCAGCTCTTTACTTATCTAACATCCTTTGTACCTAAAGTAGATTGTCCAGAGCCCAGTCACAACAACCTCAAATACATTGATTTGTTTTAATTCTGTTATTTATCTTTCAGATCCTATAAACAAATAGAACTCCCAGAATTTTTTTTTTTTAAGAGGGAGTGGGAGGGAGGAAGCTTCAGATGATGTCACTTCAGACAGCATTTTTTTTTTCTGCGCGATTGAAATGAAGGAGATTTGAAACTGGACAGAATTCAGAATTATTTGCAGGACAGCTTTAACTCTGACTCTTGACATATTCTGCCCTTTCTGGATTAGTGACCCTTGTTTCCAGTTCTCCTTTTCTCCCAAAACACCACATTTAATTTTTTTTTATTATAGCAGCTATAAAAAAAGATTCATAGCTTTGTGTTTCCTTTTCCATTTCTGTTTTCTCAGATCTCCATGTCGAAAATAAAAGTCTTGGAATTAAGCAGTGAGGGCCAGTCTGTCTTTGTAACCACACAGCAGTCATGGATGAATTGGCAGATACAAAATAAGAAAATTCTTTCTCTAAGCTATAAAACTGAAAGGCTTCTTTCAAGTTTCTTTCAAAGTGAGCCACAAAATACTGGTCTGCTTAAAAGTAGAATCCTTAACGGTTCATGAAAACTTTCCTTAATGGCAGACATCTGTGAAAGAGCTGATCACCTCATCTTAAAGATTACATAACATTCTCTGACTTTTGGGGGTTGGCTGCACAAATAATCGCCTGGATTCCACACCGAATTAACCAGGAGACTTTGCGTGGGGGCCTTTCCCTCCCTTGAGAGGGTTGAGCAAAGCTAGTTTTGAACAAGAACTCCCCACCATTTTTAGTACCTTAACCCTTTTAGACCAGGATTTCTCTGAATATACCCTTAAAGGGTCACCTGCTGACTTGACATCTGGAAATCTAGTTTCATATTTTATTTATTTTTGGTTTGGGGCCACACGCAGTGGTGCCCAGGGGTTACTCCTTACTTCTTTCAGGAGTTACTTCTGGCTTTGCTGGGGGACCCTGTGGGATGCTGGGGATCAAACCCTGGGTGCGCCCGGTGCAAAGCAAACATGCCCTCCCCGCTGTAGTATGGCTCCTGCCTCCTGGAACTCTGATTTTAGATTGTCGCTTATACTCCCTTATGCCACAGGAATTCTGATCACTTCCGGCAGCTGGCTTATATAACATGCATTCCAGCACTTTTACACTGCTTCTGTCTTTTGCTGTTCTTTAGCTCTTTTTTTCACTGCAAGATGAGAATCCTCTGGAAATAATTCCATTACCCCATTTTTCAGTCATGTCCTTTTTGTAGCTATAAATCCCAACTGTCATATCTTTTTTCTATGTATAATTCTGTTTTTAAGGGAAAAGGATGGAGAAAATTTATTAATAATGTATACCATCTGTACACCCAAAAGAGATCCAGTGAAACTGAGTAACTCCTATTATTATCCTCCTACGTTTTCTCCTTAACTATTTTTATTTTCCACTGGTTTCTATTGGCACAGTGCAATTAGAGATACAGACAAAAACAAGGAATATGACCTGTTTTGTTTAATAAAGATGAATTTGAAAAGATGTGCTTGTTTTATGTATACAGCAGTTTATTTGTTTGTGTTTTATGTCCATAACTTTAACTTTGGAAGAATGCAAGTATCAAAGCAAACAATATTCCTGGCCCGAAGCTCTAGTTTTATCATTATGTAACTACTTGATCTTGAGCGTAAATTTTTAGTTTTCCTTAGTAAGATGATAGGGTAGGGCCAGATGGTCTCTAAAGACTCAGTTTTAAAATTCTATGAAGATGTCAGGATTACATAATCTATTTGAAAGGCATTAATTTTTTTTAATTGTGGGAAAAAAAACTACCTCCTCGAACTAATCACAGTTTCCTTTCCTCCCTATGTAGCACTGTCCTCCCTTTGTTCGTTGATTTGCTTGAGCGGGCACCAGTAACATCTCACAACAAATTGTGAGGCCTTTTGTTACTGTGTTTGGCATACCAAATTTCGCGGTAGCTTGCCAGGCTTTGCTGTTCAGGCGAGATACTTTCAGTAGCTTGTGGGGCTCTCCGAGAGGGGGCAGAGGAATTGAACCCGGTCGACTGCGTGCAAGGCAAACACCCTACCCACTGTGCTATGGCTTCCCCTCCCTATGTATGTTATGATAATCATATTCATGTAGCATGTTACTCCCTCATATTAATAGAAGTGGAACAGAGAAAGAGGGATAGAAGTGTTATGTAACAAGCCAAGTATTCGTTTCGACTCAACTCACTGTAGAGCAATAGTTGTCAGCCTTCGTAAGGATGCCTATTTAGGAAATACCTTTTCTCCAAAAGGCTTCCCTTTGCTTTATAGTTATCTTTACCAGCTCTTGCTGATATTATTGCTGCCTTTCTTTGCTGCCTTGTCATTGGACCTCCTTAGAAGTGGGTAAGAAGTACAGTGCTTTTGTAGGAAGAGATTGGGACAAGGTGGAAGAGTGAGTGAAAGTGAATGACTGCCTCCAGTAATGAGCAAGTAGCATCTGAATTATTCATTATAAAGTGGCTATTCAAACCTTAATTCTTCACTTTGTCTAACTTTTCCTATTGGCATAACTGGGATTAAAGAGTTTGGTTATTTAGCTTTTTGATATTGGTGGTAGGTTTCTTGGGGGAGGGCGGGGGATACAGGGGGTGAAGCAAGACAAGGAGGAAGTTAAAATATATGTAGATATTTACTGAAAATTTTAAATGTTATCTTTAGAGAAAGGATTGGAGGCTTGGTTTTTTTTTTTTTAACTCAAAGTATATCTAATTTTACTTAATTTTATAACTTGATTTTTGTAAACAATGGCCAGTACAATTTTTAGTCATTACAGTTTTTGTTCTTCATGAAAGTATTGGTATCTGAATTGAGGGATTAGTACTAGGGGGTAAAACAATAGCCTTGTGCTCCCCAGGTGACTTTGGCGGGGTCTCCTGTCTACAGGGCGCTCATGGTTTGTGGTGGCTACTGCCCAGGGTGGACCTGGTTGCATGTTGTGCAGCTGAACATAAGTTACCTTCCCACTGTCACCTGAAACAGTTTTTCTTGGCTAGACAGAAGCATGTCTTTCACCCTTGGCAAAATCAGAGGTCTCGAAGATGGTGTTGGATTTTATCTATACCATATAAGAGATATATTTTAACTAAAATTCTCGT